TAGATATTTAACAAATAATTTACCTAAAAACATTTGGTCGTTGATCATAGTCAACATGAAGGCCAGTCGAACTATCATGCCACCGAGTTGCTGAGTAGATAAATTGGGAATGAGGTGAGTAGCCAGATTCCATGAAATTAGGCATTCTAACTTGGCACAGTATGATAGAGCAACAATTGCTATAGATTCAGCACCTCTAAGTAAAGTGACGGGGATCACTTTATAGATTAAAGTGCAGTTACAACAATTATTTTTAATGTACAATTGAGGATTGTGATAAAAATAAGCACATGTATAACAAACTCTGAAATTAGTTACAGTCTTCACAGTTAATTTTTGAATCAATGGCTATTAGCACATTAACTGTGGAACCAAATAAGTATTTACTATTTAACAATTAATAATTATGGGCAGGGACAAAACATGAAGATATATATAAAACATTGAATCAATTATCAATCAACTTCAAAAAAAGTGTGTGTGCACATTATAGATGGAATCCCACAGGTTTGTCCCATAGGCCATAATAAGTGGAATTTGGATTTATTCCTTACTCTACTTGTAGTCAGAACTAACATGGATTTTTTGGGGAGGTCTAGCTAAGATAAAAGGAATTAATTATGAGGGTGCAGTGACCCCAGTCATCCTTGTCATGGATCTTCTTGATTATGGGTAAAATATAATCCAGAATGATAAATCAAAACCAAGAACAGACTTCAAATTTAATAGTTCCCAAATCATTTATAAAAAAATTTAATAAAAAAAAAATGTTGCTCAAGCACAGAAATAAGATATGTTTCTTCTTCATCATGTTACCGAAAGAGAATAACAAATGATTGACATATTGTGACAACAGTCAGGAATCATTCTGAATTGTAACCAATCAGTCAAAGAAAATAAAATCCATAAATAAATCATAAATATGATCAGGAAATGAGCATCACCCTCTAGAATGCATCTTCTCTAATATGGAGATGGCCTCAATTGCAATACATGCAACCATTTCAGTTGACATCCTGAAACCCAAAAGGAAGAAGTAAAGGTTAGCTATTCAATATTTACTAGATTGCTGACAAAAATAAGATGCATTACATTTCAATAAATTTCACAGAGATACTTACATGTGTGAGTTGTTATTCCAAACATCCCACAAACTAGGACCAAGCATATCCATGACCTGTACAGAATAGGACCTGCCGTGCCTTCGTTAGCAGCTCCCGGAGCCTTATCGGCACTACGGCCACCACTATCGTACTCATCCATGTCTTCCTCTTCCAAAACCCTAACCAGTGAATGCTCCTTCTCCCTCTCCGCTCCCTGTTCGCCTTTCAACCTCCTGCCTCTTGCTCCACGCACAGTATTGGCCTTCTTGTTGGAGCAACAACGGCTGTCCTCCTCTGACGGGCTCCGGCGGGCGGCGGCGAGTGTGGTTCAGTGATCGGATTAGGATTTGCGTTGTTTAAGAGGCAGTTTCTGCGTGGTCGGGGCCCCAGCTCAGGCATAGTAAGGGTGGCGGTTTCCTCCGGGAGTGCCTCCAAACCCTAAAACATTAGCACCCGCATAGGGCTTCAATGCTTCCTTGGAGAGTCGTTGAAGATCAACGAGCCTGGACTGTAGGCGTTTTAGGTTTGAGAGTGTTGAGAGGGTTTGGGTCTTAGAGTGTGCGAGAGGGAGCGTTCGAGAGTGTGCGTTTGAGAGTGTCTTCAGAGGGTAAGCATCTACTGAGTGGTCGCGGGGGCGGGGAAGAATTTCGTCACCCCTTCTACATCGGTCAACACGAAACCTGATGCAGAATAGCTCACTAATTTCATTTCTACATCGGTCACTCATATAACCGATGTAGAGTTGTTTATATTTACATCGTTTTCTACAATAACCGATATAAATATTCTAATTTATTCAAGTTATTTACGAAATTGTCACCGCACATTTTTTTTACATCGTTTTGTAAGGAACCGATGTAAATATAGTGACGTAGAATAATGTTTTTCTAGTAGTGAAAGAAGAAATAGTAAAAAAAATCATATCACATGGACATAAAATAAATATTCAGACGAAATGAACAAAATAACATTATAGAAATTTTGTTTAGTTGAGAGGAGGGGAATAACCTTTTTCATGCATCATGAATTAAAGTGAGATGTTTCTCACTCCTTTTCTTTTTTGTGTGATTTTCTTATGACTGTTGCAGGTAATCATCAACATGGTGTTGAAGATATTGGTGATGAGGTCTAGTCCTCAATGTTGCATCACTCTAATAAGACATGTGATATTGGAAAATAGTTAGAACTAGTTAGGATTTGATTCATGCTATTTTATTTCTTTTGTAATTTGTTATTTCTGTTAAGTTTAATTTATGTTAAAAAGTAATTCTTTCTACTTGTATAGATTTTGAGTTTATTATTATTTTTTTATATTGAGGTATTTCAGTTTATAATATAATATGTTGTTATATATGAGGGGTAGAAAGTGTCATATTATTGATGTTGATTTCTTTGAAGTGTCTTTATATTTGAATTATTTGTGATATGTTGTTTTCCTCGGAGCTTTGTTCTACCCATTCAACTCAATTTTGCTTGGAATATAGGTGACTGAATCGATTAAATCAGCTTCATATGACGTGTAAATATCATTGAGTAAATCATTTGAATATTTACATAAAATAAAATAGAGATGAACATGTTTATTGATGAAAATATTTAATGCTATTGATGAATTATATAAAAGAATAGTGCTATTGTGATTGAAATCAAGCACTCGAAAGCATTGTGTTTGCCAAACCGAGAATATTTATACAACTAAAAAGAAATCTAAAAATAAGAATTATTTAAAAATTATTCAAATAAGAATAAATTGATCGACTAACAACAACAAAATAGTGTAACACATAAAAATCTTTTTAAAAAATTCAAAAGATAAACAATGATTTATTCTAAATCAAGCTAACATCTCTTCACCTTTCTATCTTTTCATATTCAAGAACGAAACAAAGCTTGTTGCTTATTCCACACCTTCACGAAATCACCTTTTTGTAATTAATGGTTTCAGATGAAATTTTTTCACTCACTATTGAGTACATAGAACTTTTTTGCCCATTTCTTGAACCCCATATTGTAGTCAATATTGTCATGCATATCATAGACACAAGCTTGTATTCCTTCTACAATATTTTCACCATTCTTCAATAACGGTATGAATGATTCTTCCACGACCTTTTTAGGAAGAAAAATCCTATTTTGATCTGCCTTCACATCACTACTTTTCAATTGTTTCTTAAGAGGCTTACCACACTCTAACATATAGTCTCTGAGATTCTCTAGCGGTGACAAATTTGAAGGGTATTATTATGAGACAATGTTGGAGGGCATCATTAATGATGACCCTTCTATTAATGATTTACCTTTCTCTTCTTGGTGTGCACTTTACCAAATCAACTACTGTTTCAGCATCGATTTGCTCTTGCCCCATTGTTGATATTGATGATTATTGCCAAAATTATGTTGATATTGATGATTATTGCCAAAATTATTTTCATGCCACTTTTGTGGATCTTTTTCTTGTTCCATAATTTCAAGAAGTTGAAATGTTGCTATTTCATCCTCAATGAGTTCCTCTTCGACTGTTCTTTGAATTTGAGACATACTGAGATTACCTTGTTTCCTATGATCCATAAAAACCAACAAATCTAATTAGAAAGTGATAAATTATTTAAAAGAAAATGGAATTACCATTTTGTGCTGTTTAGGTACTTGTCATATCCATCAACATCAAGAGTGTTGATGATTTGGAAGGGAGTGTGGTATTAAACTGTGTGGATAATTTGGAATACTAGGAATTATGTTCAATTTAATGCGAAGAAATACAAACCTGACAATGATTTAAGACAAAATGTAGACTCAATCAACCTTTTTGGAGCTAGTGTTTGAATAAAATATTTTTTTGGCATTCTCAAAACAAAAAGAATTAGAGAGAAAAGATACTTCTCGAACTATGGATTCGGAATTATAAAGTGTTACAATGGTTATATATAGTGAGGATGACAGGGTTAATTTTATATTTTGAGCGAAATTAATTTTATATTGAGCGGGAAGTGAATTTTAAAGGAACTTCCCCTTTGAGGTGCCTCTAACGTAGCGAGGAGATTAGTCATCGCTGTCGGCGGTGGATATTCCAGGGACGAACAAAAAAAAAAATGGAACTTCCAAAGATTTAAAAAAAATATTAAAAACGATAGACAAATTTTTTTTTAAAAAGATAATATTGTAAATTGTGATGATATAATCTTTCTAATCATAACGATGGATAGATAAATTTTGCGATTAATAAGTTTTGTGAGATGAGATGTATCCTTAGCTTCATTACCCTAATTCCTAATTGACTTTTTGTTCAAGGTGTTCCATTACTTATTACATCATAATTATTTTTTTTTTAACGTTAGAGTACTCTTTAAGGTTTACAATTGAAATACACAATTTTTCCAATCATCTTACTAAAACTACACACTTTCTAAAAATTGTGTTGTCATCATTCTCATCATTGTCACTTAGATCAATTGATTCAAATTTTTTTAAACAAAATTTTAAATTACACTTCACCATATCCTCACTCTTGCAATAAGGTTTAATTAATATTAGTTAAACTCTAAAAGAATTGGTGTCACAAAAATAAAAATAAAAAATGCCAAAAATATTAGTTACTCTCAATTGATTCCAATTGTTTATATTAGTCATATGTTTAAAAGTGTTCTCATGATTTTTAAGTCTCTCACTAATATATTTTTAATCTCTTAAGCCATCGTTTGCTAATAAAGTTTTATTATTATCTGACTTGAACAACTTACAACAAAAACAATATAGTTTGTCAACAAATTTTGAATAAACCAACCATCTTCTATGACTAGTCTCACCATTGTTCAACTTCCTAGAATAATAAGCATATGAAAAATGTCTATAAATGTTATCTAAAGGAAAAACAAGATTCATTTCTCTTATAGGTCCTTTTTCAATTAAAATGTCTATTGCTTTGTTATCAAGATTATCTCAATTTATATGATCATAAATATCTAAATGAGGATTTGATTACTGTTCCTCCATGTCAAGATTTTCGATACTAAATTCGTTTGCACCTCATCACATGTATCATTTACATCATTCTCAGTTAACAGATTTTCAATTTGTAAACTAGGATTTAGTTTAGTTAATCAATATTTTCAAGAGAAGCTACATTTTTCAATAGCTCCTTGTTGTGATTTTATTAACTCTTCCTCTTGTTTTCTCTTTTTTCTTTTTTCATTTCCAGATAAATGTTTTTTAGGCAACATTATATATATAAAAAATCAAATACTTCAATAATGTAAGAAAAAGAACAATAACACCTAAAAATAGAAATTAAAATTGAATCCTTGCCGACACGTTTGCCGATTCCAAATGTCAAATTTAAAGACCGTCAACATAATTAAAAAATTAATCAATATAAAATTAGCTATAATATAAACAACAATTAAATATTTGGGTATTCTCAAAATTTAAAGAATATATTCTCATTATTTTTTACAATAACGATAATAAAATTTTAATTTTTAATTTTTGTACAAACTATTATAACTGATCCACCACTATATATAAACCAACACAAATCTTGTGATTTTAGAGTAGTATATCACTAACAGCAAAGGCCACAATTATACCATGACCATCATTCAGAATACGTACGTGACTAAATTTTAAAACAATATTATATAAATGTTACAATCAAGATAAAAGATATCAAAAAGTTTAGATTATGATTGTTCCTCACTTCCTCGTTAAACACCAGCTTTAATGTCCCAATATAATATAATAAAAGTAACTGAATATAAAATATTAAAATACACAATAAAAGTAGAAACTATGCACACTACAATAGTTGAGTGATTACTGATTATTAGAATATAAAGAAAGTAGGAAATTGAAAAGCAGCGATAACAGAACGCTCAAGGACAACACAGTACGCTTTACGACTTTAGAGTTTGAAAGGGTGTGAAGCACATAAAATTAGCCGTATACACAGTAAGAAAATTAGCAAATGAGTAGATGATGAAAGGCTATGAAAATAGTATTACAGTAGTACAATATTGAACTGAACACAAAATGACTTTTAACCTTTTGGTTTCATGGCTTTAAATATAAAAAATACATATATCTATTAGAAATAAATAAATTAAATATTTAGTTATTGAAAAGATAAAAATTAAAACCACTTATTTATAAATTATACTGTTGGGGAAGTGGAAAAGTTTAATATATATAATTTTAAATACTTAAGGCTATTCAAAACTTTGGACCC